CAGCAAAGGGACAGACCGGTCTCTACGCCGAGCTCATATGAAACAGCCGCAACTTCTTTTTGCCTCCCTGAGGGCTGGGCAGCCAGCACTCATGCTCACCCATGTTTAGATTTGCTTGTGCGACTTCTCCTCGATCCGTCCCTAAAATTAGGTAAAAGGGTAGGTTATCCTCCACTAAGAGTGTCAGGGAGTGCAAAACTCTCTCTACCTTATTCTCCCCCTCCAACCGGAAGTATGCCTTAACCTCTTCGACTTAGTCTTCCACTCTCATTTCGTGATTGTTTGCGAGCCTACTCACTACCGACTCGTCCAACTTTTGAACCTTCATGTCGAGGTGCATCTTCTTCAATCCCCTTCGGTTGATGTAACTCTGCGTTGACCCACTATCGACTAACGAGCCTACTTGCTCTCTACTAATCTCTACATCTGCTAATATAAGCTGCCCGTTTTCTTTTTCATTTCGACCCAGGCTTGACGACGAGTGATCAACTCATCACCGATGCCTGCGAGGGATCCACCCAGAGAGACCCTAGCACAAGCAGTCTCCGAACAACTAACTGGGTGAGGGACTACATCAGTCTCTGCCGTTAGGGCCTTCACACAGGAGGGTGCCTGGTCAATGCGCGCTTCTTCCTGTCTGTCTATGTTTGAAGACCAGTAGGAGCGACTGCAACTCCTACTGGTGTTCCCTTTTGGGTGGCGGTAATCGGGGCAGAAACAGACAATGTGGTTGGGAATCTTGGGATCACCACATTTGAGGCATTGATCCGCCTTCAGCCTCTTTTCCCATAATGACCCATTTCCTTCCAAGGTTCGCCATCAACAATCCCTTGATGTGTCGGCCATCAGCGATCCCTTGATGTGTCTACCCCTTCCGCTTGTGGAGTAGGATACGCGGCTACCTTCCGGGGAACCATAACCCTTACCTCCCACGTAGTAGCTACCTTAGCAGCTATTCCCGTGGGTGCCACGTCCTCGTCCTCCACCTCTACCTCTGCCTCCTCTTCCTCCTTGTCGCCCTCCCCCACGGGTTGCAACAGCCGCATAATCCCCGCCCTGGGCTACTTGGTTGTTGTTGGGCTCATAGGGCAGTGCCTCGACTCCCCCTCCCTCAAACGTGACTAGAAGGCTATCCTTTCCCTCTATGTTGCCTGCAAGGGTCTTAGTCTTCTATCTTCCTCTCTTCTGCAGGTCTTTCTAGTAATGAGAATAATTTGCTTCCATAAGGAAGCTGGCCTGATCTACGGTGATTTTGCTAAATTTCTCATAAGTCATGCCCTCCTCCTTCGTACGGGGGTATAGAGTGGTCCTGAGGGGATTAGGCATTGCACTCACATGGTTATTAAGGATCTCTGAAGGTGTCAATCCGTGATCAGGGCACCGAAGCAGTTCGTCCATGGTGGCTTTGAGAGCAGCTACACTATTCCACTTCCTATCAACTATATTTAGGATCAAGTGCTATGTGCGTCTGGCCAGGTTTTTGTCTTCGAACCTCTCCTTTCAGGGCCTTGAAAAAGTCCTTTATGTGTGTGTTTTTGGAGTACTCTACCATGGATGTACAACCTGCCTCTTTCATCAGAGAGATGGCGAAATTGGCTGCATCTCCACCAAGACACGAACTTGCCATCAGAACAAGGTCCTAGTATGGAATCAGTTGTGCGTACAGGTAAGTGCCCATGTGTGTAAGTGCTAATGTGTGTTTCCCACTAAAAAAAATTCTCTTCTCTCTTCCCAATGTATGTCCAGGGAAGCTTAACCTTGATCTTCTCCCTTCTCTCGCCCCCTTTAGGTCGGCTAGGATCGATCTTTCGGTCCCCCTCCTTCTTGGGATCTCCAGCGCCGTCTCCTCCACCATCTCCACCTCCACGACCACTTCTTGCTTTCACTGTGGCGACATTGTTTATTAATTTTGAGGTGAATATACCCTCTAACTGCTGGCATACCCCTCAACCCGTGGCAGCGACACTCAAATAATTGTTCCAGGTGCCTTTGAATTCGTGATTATGCTGTTCGAGGCGGGCAATCGATTTATTGATAGTGGCAAGCTCTTGATTAGTGTGTAAACAAGGCTTTGACCACGAGGGTACGATCATCCTTCCATTCCCCTTCATGGTCCGTTTGTTCCTTTAGCTGGCGTTCAATCTCTTCCCTTTTCAATTTTTAATATCCTCTTCTCCTCCAACTCAACCCCATTCTTTACTAGGAGTCACTGTTGCAACTCATGTTCCCTCTCTTGCATCAACAACTCCCTTTCTGCATCGTTCTCTTCCGCCTCCAGCTTCACTGACTTTTCTGCTCATTCATCCTTTCTGAACCCAAACTTCTCCATCCACGTCTGGGTATCTGTAGGGTAGAAGTGGAGCTGACTAGATTCCCCCTTCTTCCTCTCTTCTGAACCTGGGATCCTCCAGCCTTATTTCTTCTTCTTCTCCTTCTCCTTCTTCTTCTTCTTCTTCTTCTTCTTCTTCTTCTTCTTTCTTCTTCTTCTTCTTCTTCCACTACCTCCACCACTTGCTTCTGCTTCTCCAGAGACTTCAATTTCTCTTCCAATTCCTTTCTCTCTTTCTCCAATCTCTCCTTCTCTTCCTCTTTCTTATTTCTCTTCTCCTCCTTTCTTTCTTCTCTCTCCTTCTCCTTTTCCTTTAGCCTCCTATCAATCTCGGCTTGCTGTTCGACGGTAAAGGGTTGGGTAGATCTCCCAGATCGACTCACAACGTTCATACCAAAGGTATGGGAGAAACCTAGTGGAAAGAGAAAGCGAAGGAGGGGCCCCTATATTGCGGACAAGGCCAAGAATCCAAACATTGGATAGTTGTCCATGGTGGGTGCTGGCACTGTAAGATTGACTCTGCCTCCTCACCACGTATGCCTATTCCTCAACACTTATTCAATCCTCAACACCTAATTATCAACCTAACCTATATTAGGGTTTGACAGTCTACTTCCCTCCCCACATTTGTCACTACAACTCTCCTCCAATCCGGTGGGCAACCGACATTTGAAGGTCGGCCAACACAAACCTCAGGAATTATTTAACGATGCAAACAGGACGCCGTGCCCACCATAGGAAGATTGCTTCTCAAGACGTAGACTGATTCCTCACTGATTGCAGTTGTTTTAGGGTATAACAACCACCAGCGATTTTGCCAGCCGGTCAGTACCGGTCTTTGGGGGGTCTCCCTGGCGTCCTGAATTGGTGGACCTTACGTATCACCCCTACTTCACCCGTGTATTATACAGCTGGCAAACCCTACTGCCCTCTACAACTCCTCACTGCGTCTTTTTGAGTCTTCGGTCGCACGCCGGTCAGTACCGGTCATTGGGCATAGCCGGGTTGTTTTATGAGCGCCCGCCGCTCATTGCCCGGGCTCCCTACTAGGTCCAGAGATACATCCAGCTGCCGAGTTGGTACCCTATACCTAGACCATGCATTCACAGATTGATAGACTCGATAACAGCAAAGAGACCAAATATCAGATGAAGTCAACAAAAACCCTAATTGCAGCAGAGGTCACAAGGAAAGCACGTGGGAAGGCACCATCCACAAGAAAATTCAAATTGCATAAAGACTGGGCCAAGGCAAAGAAGCACTTCGCTCCATGAACGTTCCGTCGATGAAGCTCCTCGCTCGCAGGTACGTGCCCCCCTTGCCCCTTGCTATGCCCATTCTACTTCGGCCCTCAACCTGTCAAACCCCGATCTCACTTTTTTTTTGTGTGTCACCCGTCGGCCTTCTTCCTTGCCAGCGTCTCAACTCCGAGCGGATGCAGTGGGAACCAGCTCTGATACCACTGAAATGGACCGAACACTCGACAAGCTTTACTTGCATACACCAATAAACATCCACATGAGAGTTTACACGTGAGAAGCCAAATCGAGATACAATCCACATTTGAAGATATCGTCACCAATATTATTATCAATATACAAGAATGTTTGTCCCCAGCAGCGGCTATGGCTTCCCCCTTCTCTCTCTCTCTCTCTCTCTCTCTCTCTCTCTCTCTCTCTCTCTCTCTCTCTCTCTCTCTCTCTCTCTCTCTCTCTCCTGTCTCTTATACACATCTAGATGTGTATAAGAGACAGCTCTCTCTCTCTCTCTCTCTCTCTCTCTCTCTCTCTCTGTGGATCGTTCCCCTGGATACACCCACTCAGGTATCTTACACCTTGGTGGCTATGGCCGCCGTCCTCCTGCTCTACGTCTAACCTAGCTATGGACCATCTCCCAGGCGCCCTCTTCTCCTTCAGACGCACAGTGCCCAAGTTGCCATAACGCACAAACGGCAGCAGCGCTTCCGCATCTCACAATTGAACAAGTGACGAGTCGCTGCACTGTAGCAGCTAAATATAGGACTTGTCTTCGCTTGGCTTGGCTTGGCTTGGCCTGCTTCAGACCGTTACCAGTCAGTCGCGGCCTGTCTGCTGCAAACATTTTGTCGGTCCGGTACCTTCCGGACTTTCCTTGGACATGCTGCAAATTTGGACTTGGGGTCTGTCGGACTGGACTGGACGCTTCTGGACTTTCCTTCTCGGGTACCGGGCGAACCTCTACCGACCTACGACGCTTCGGTAACGACAACTATAGACCTATGATACCCTTAGAGCCCTACGGCCTACACGATGGAACGGCCCTGGGACGGGTATAGGTGCAAGTTGAGTATAGTGGGTATTCCCATCTTTAAGTGGGGTACATATGCAATTTTCCCTATAATCTACGTGTTGACAGTTGTGACTGCCTGCATACATCTCACCCAAACTGAAAGGTACTCTAACCAGTGGTTTCAACCAGTGGTTCGGCGGTTTGGCATACGTTCTATGTTGTTAACTTGTTATAGTTTCTAGATGCTCCTTGCCACTACGGCGTAATATGGAAAATCGGCAACTTGTACAGTGTTTTCGTGTTCCATTTGTGGAAATTGGGATTACTCGAGCACTCGGCATTGACTCTTAAGAAAAAAAGAAAAAAGACATCAGAGGGATCCACAGATATTGAAATTGGTTACCTCTACTGCGAAGAAAGTAGTCATCGCTTTGTCGTCAATCGACATCATTTCAATCTCCATTTGGTTGAGCATTCCATACACCCACTTTGGCATGAATGCAGTACTCATGAGCTGGAGGCCCAACGATACGGCAGTCTTGAAGTTCTGCGAAAAGCCAGACAGGCATGCATGGATGGAAGAACACACGTGAAAGGTCACGAATACACATAACACACACCTCATCACACACACACACACACAATACCAACACACAGACACACACACGCACACAGACACACACACACACACACACACACACACACACACACACACACACACACACACACACACACACACACACACATGGATGATCATAGGGTTAATGAACCTGATCTTACTCAGACATGTCAACAAAATGGTGCAAACAAGCAAAAAGTGACTGTGCTGGTTCTAGCTTGCCAAGAGTCCACCACTGACACTGGTGGGGGCGTCTTAAAAAAAAAAAAAAAAAAAAAAAGTTTGCCAAGAGTCCATAACCAGGGAAACAAGATCCACAAGACAGCTGAGGGCGTGCATGACATTAGCGAAAAGCATGACAGTATGCGTTTTCTTTCTTTTTTTTTTTAAATCATTACGCTCCAATTCCCTTTTTTTTTTGGGGGGGGGAAAGGACGCCGTCTTTCTACTAGGGTGAGTGATGCGAGAATCTGCCCCTAGTAGATAGGTCGGGTGCTCAAGTCTATTAGTGGGGAGCAGCACCTGCTGGAAACCGAGTCCAGCATCACTTTTTTTCAACATGAGAGTACCAGGGCCATTACCCGGCTTCGGCTGTGTGATACAAATACATGAAGGAAAGCAACATCAGCTGGGAATGAGGCCCAGCATCCCTCTTGAAGATCCTCTGCATTGACTGATGCCCTAAAATACACGTTGTTTAGTAACTACTGTTCTGGAATACATTTGGGAAGCAAAGAGGACAGAGAACTCAAGGAACACTGTAGCTCCTCCGAGGGGCAGCCGGAGCAGCCTTCTAAGTTCTAACTCATTCTGACACGTCCCTCCCAAACCAGCTCAACTCTACTAGAGCTCCACCTTGAACAGGGAAGAGATCAGAAAATTCCGCAGCCGACTTCATTGGGGTTTGATGGGTCGATTTCCGTCCAGTTTGACAGTGCCTCCGGCACGGTTCCGTGCCTTGGCTGAGCCACCTCAACCATTCACCGTTGCTATCCATCCTCCCTCTCCCGCCCAAGCCAGTCTCTATGTTGCTCGCGTACACGTATGGGGCTTTTCCATACATAATGTACGCATATTTTATGTACGTAACCCCGTATGTGGCGATGTACGTTCTGTATGTAAAACGTATGGGGGAAAAAAAAAACAAATCTAAAAAATCTGAAAAAAAAACACCATGTTATGTAACATAGGCAGACAGGCAATATTTGTCTGAGCACCAACCCCAAATTCTTATTAAAATAAGAGAAATGCAATGAACCTCCTAGTTCAACACCAGTGAGTGTACATATTCACACCAGAAGCATGTATGAGTTCACACGAAATTCACACTGGAGACCAGAGAGATGAAGACCAGGTAGCGCAGCTTATCATTTCCAGAAAGTATTAAAAGAGCAATAAGAGTTCAAGTCACCAGCGCTCATCAGCGCGTGCCAATAGGTAACCAATAATCAGCATAAACTCTCAGGTAAGTATCTCTTCCCTTCTGCTCTTCCCTCTTATGTATCTCTCCACCTTGCTGGTCTTCTCCCTAGCTATGACCTCGCTGTGTCTTCTCTCCCTACATGCATTCACACTCACTATCTACTACTTCATGGATCTACTCTGAATACACCCACTGTCAACTCCACTAACCCCTCTGGAGTCTACTACTAACAACTAGCACTAACACTTCTGCACTGGCGCAGCTATGGCTGTCTTCTCCCTGCCAGCGCTATCTTCCTCTCTCTCCCTCACTTAGCGCAGCACTCTGGCCTCAGCACTCTGCTCCTCATTTCAGCGCACAAGTGCACCAGCACTTCCACACTTCTTGCGAATCAGCAATCTGCCTGAATGTGAGGCTGGTCAGTCCTTTTGTAGTCTTGGTTTGCACTTCAACTCGTGCCAGCCTCTGTTTCTTGGGTCCGGACTGGTTCCGGTACCACATCCCCACGGCCTGTCTGCTACTGAATGTTAAGGCCTGGAACCTTCCCGAATTTCCATTGGACTGCTGCTGCTTGGGCCTTCGAGTCATGACTTTTCACTTGTGAACATGACTTTTGACTGTGAACAGTGACTCCTGCCTGTGGGTCACGACCTTTGCCTGTGATTCTACCTTTTTACTCGTGGGATATGTCTCTTCAATATGACTTTTCATTAGGAAACGTGACTCCAACCTTTGAGACATGACTCTTGCTTGGTGAATCTGCCTTTTCACTCGTGGGATGTGACTCTTCTGAATGACTTTTATTATGAGACGTGACTCTTGTCCCTGAGACGTCACTGTTTGCTGGGTGCCTGGTGGACCAGACTGCTGAGGTACCTGATTGTGACTTTTCTGAGTTTGACGAACTCGGCCTTTTCTTGACCTGGGCATCTGACCCTGAAGTCCGAATTTGGGGTCTGAATTATGGAAGGCCTTTCAGAAAAAAATAGACATGGAAAAAGGGTAATTAAAAAAAAGAAAAATTTCACTGCAACAGCAACATGCCTGTGTGTGTAATCGAAAGGAACACACGCACACCATCAAACACACATTGACACACATGACACAAACAGAACACACCCACCCACACATTTTTGTGCATTTCTTTTCTTTAATTATTCAGGGGTTCCAGTCGATAAATAGACTGGATATAGCCGTTAAAAAATGGTGGCCAGGGGACCAGGGGTGTTTGAAGCCACACAGCATGTGTTCATGAGATCGGCCTTGGAACTTTTCTTTTTCAGCTGATTTCAGGTATGCAGGGTGCATGGACACTAATCAATACCCCGACACCAAAAAAAAAAAAAAAAAAAAAAAAAAAAAAAAAAAAAATTGTACGGAACCCCTCCCGTACGAGTAGCGTACATGTAAGGACACGTACGAGGTGCCGTATGGATCGCTACGCAGGCCAGTCGTTGCAGAACTCAGTGATTGCTTTGACAAGATCCACTTGCTGTGAATAAATTTTTGGACGCGCTAGCGCCGTTCCGGTGAGCGCTACCAAGCAGCGCTATTCCGCGACCCCACGCTTCCTTGGTTTCCCGTGCAAGCGTGGGGTCGCGGAATAGCGCTGCTTGGTAGCGCTCACCGGAACGGCGCTAGCATGTCCAAAAATTTATCCACAGCAAGCGGATCTTGTCAAAGCAATCACTGAGTTCTGCAACGACTGGCCTTCGGGCGTGGCCCCACCAAACCCGACTACGGACAGACAAGCGCAGGAAAGAGAAGGGGAAAAGGGAGAGAATGAGAGGGAAGGGGACAGGACCGCTAGGGAAGGAAAAGGAATGAGAACAACCTAAGACCAGGAAAGGACAAAGGGAGTAAAGAAAGGGAAGGGAAGAGAGGCGAGAAAAGCCTTACCATACATAGGAGAGCGTTTTGCGGAGGCCAGACACGCAAGGAATCATTACAAGCAGACGAAGGGAGAGGCTCAGCGGTAGTGTTTCCTTCAGCACGCAGTCGTAAGGTTCGAAAGGTCTCGTTCTCCTCTGAAGGTAAGATCGGAAGGCCATCATACCCACCCCACGGTGCGCGGGACACAGCGCGAGAAGGACGCGAAGACAAGAGAAGAGACAAGCACGGATCAAGAGAGGAGGACACCTTTAGACAAGCAAAAAAGGAGAAAGCGACGAAGTCGATGCGGATTTTAGAGACGACCTAGTCAGGCACTATAGATGATCAAATATACACAACGATCCGCATTAAAGCTGGATAGAAGCAGCTGCTGAGCAGCGTTGGTTCAATCAGAGAACATAGACCAGATAGCGGAAGTAGAACTCACCTAAACTAAGTCAGTCGGAGCCTATAGACAGCCCCGGCGTCCCCGTAATAGATCCCCTTTCTATGTCAGTCCCGACGGAAGTCACTTGAAACTTCGCCACCAGAGTGAGAGAGAAATCAACCAATCCATCTACCCCCACCCATCCCTCCGCGCTCTTACTAAAGCGTCTCTAGCCCTACCACCGCCAGACAGCCAAACACTCCCCTGTCTGCAGCACCCACTCAAACACATGTCCCATACTAACAATCCTCCCGGTCCAACCGCCCAGAGCACTCCCTCATACTCCCCTCCCCCCCAATCTCCCATCTCTCCAGTCTTCAATCCCACGGGCGTCCGGCGAAGTTCCTAAGCACTCCGAAACAGGAACGAGACAAGGTAGCCTCAAACAGACTGAACCGAAGCATTCAAAGCCATCGAGAACAAATTACTATTATTCTGGATCATTCATTCTTGCAATTAACTATTATTTATAAGCCTATATTATTTCAATTCTTTTTCGCATTAAAACTTGTGTTTTTCCTCCGAGGAGGGCAATTCCCTCCAGAAAAGGAAATTCTTTACTCCTCCCAACCTCAGGACCCATCTTATTTAGTTAAAGAACTCACCCTCCGCGCCCTCCCCAAACCATCAACGATCTGCACCGTAAAAAACTCACTTTGCTCACCCCCGCCACCCTATCCCAATCACGCCACCCCGACTTCCCCACGCTGCACGCTCCACCGCCCAACCACTCCCCTCCGCCCCCCTCTTCACTCACCACCACCCCACCCAAAATTCACCCACTCCAATCAGACCCTGTACTCCGCCAGTTATTTCAAGTCCAGTCCTACACCCCCGTAAGGCATACTACCCCCCCAGTGCCGAGTTGAGTGAGGATGGCGTCCACGTACCTCCAAGCGGCCAAGAAGGCACTAATGCAACAGGATCAGATGCAAACAGATTCCACTTCAGGTACAAAAGAACTACCTGCCCGCACGCCAACGGACTCAACCCACGCTTCGTCTCAGGGAACACAATGAACTACCTCATCATACAAGCCCCTGGGACAAAGGGCGTTAGAATTCCTGATGAGCAAAACGGAGATCAAGACAGAGATAACCAAAACAAAGGAAACAATCAAGGATGCAAATGGCCAGGAAGTCAAAGTCGAAGTGTGGGAGTACCCAGCGCAGGACCTCCAATCCC